AATTTTCAAGCATTGTCTCGATTAGAGATCGAAAAGGTGTTAAACAAATATTTCCAGTCACGCCCTCGTGTATTATTTTCTCGCTCGGTCGCTACGCATACTCGCAGAATAAGAGATAAAGCGCATATTTCAACGCCCCCCCCCCCCCCTGAAAATCCTGGCTACACCATCAACTTTTCACGATTCACTCAACAAACCAATGTACACGTAATAGGTAGTATGTTGTAAGTATTATCATATGCATGATCGATATGAATTATTGCTCTTGCATGCTGGCGGATTTCAATACTTTCTTTAATCAAATTAAACATGACTCACGGAGCAAGGTAACGCAATCGGTGATACTAATGTTCGTATCGATAAAGTCACGTGAATATGCTCGCATATACTTGTGAATCGAGTTTTAATACGCCATCGAATTGCTCCAACATGAATGTTTTTGTGTGCGATTTAATTTATCATACAAGCTTGAAATTCAAGATCATTGTCGAAGAAGAAACCGCGGAGGAGGGCTGAATAATTAGATTGTATGTGGAAACTGGAGTGTAGTTGCCATGACAATGTTCATAATCACGAACATCACAATGTTTCGCGATACACCGTACGCATCTCAAATTGAATATGATACGTCCAGACATTTTATACATTCTAAAATTAGAGAGGAAATCGTTATAGTAACACCTTGTCTACGACAATACAATGCATGAACACGTACGTGACTGATTTACTGTACGTCACAGATGAGCGCGATCTAGAGTCTGGAAGTATCACTCCCTCTGCTCGAAAGAGTGATTTTAAACCGTCAATATCTTTCCAAATTACAAGTACCTTACAAGTACCTTTTCAATTATTACACATATATGGTTGACTGTCATGAGTTATTTTATGTACATAAAGGACATGAGGCTATATATATCAATGCTTTGCCTTTCTCAGATCAGTATAATTTTGTTTACATCGCTAGGCCTTTACCTAAACTTTGTCGTCATGGTGTTCCGAAGAAGAAAAAAAATTGACATGATGTCAAGATTTTTTCCCCCACTAACATCAGGTATTTTCGCAAATTGTAAAATTACTAAATAATTACGTAGGCATTTTCCTTCTTTCAATAACTCTAAGTATAGAGCAATGCAAAAATGAGTTTCAAATCTATATTTAGGCAAGAAAATAAAGCGGATCCAGTGACAATGTTTTTATTTTTTTTAAACATTATGGACAAAATTGTGACGATAGAATTGGAAGACATTTCATTTTGATATTTGTCGTTAATTATGTTTCGTCGAATATAAATCGAGGCATCGACATTCTAAACACATCCAAGGTATGACGATAAGATTGGAAGACAATGCAAATTGCCGGGGTGGTTTCCCGTCACGCGTTTCATCGCAAACACAAAAGTGCTCAGAGCCAGAGGGACGTTAACTCTGTATCAGATAAAATGAGTGAACGCCCTTATGGCTCTAAGCAGACCTGTGATAACTTGTCTCACCTGCTTATTCATACCCACTTGGGGGTGATATTCAGTAACCTTTTCTTCAGATACCACATGCCATTTTACGCCATGTCAGTCATGGGAGGTTCGGCTCACCTCCATGAAGCTATCAAGACAACAGTCAACAAGTGACTACAATCCTCACCAGGTAAAACACCAGGTATACAACAGTCGTCATCTTCAAAGGCATGCCGTCAGGGCGAGACTCAATCGTGCCAGTGGAGCATCGAGATCTTTATAAAGGAACAGGGGCATTGCTCCAATTTCCACATTTTCCCTGCCCTACGGGGAGGGCGGGTTGGACTCCGAAGAATTCAGAGGGCACGATTTGCTGTTGTTTTAGTCGTTTTCGTTTCCTTCAAACATTAGCACCAATAAATGATTTCCAGAGTTTTTATTATCACAATGAAAAGGTATATAAATAATTAGGTTTAAATTATATTGATATCTGAAATTAAGACATTTATGTATATCGATGTAAGATATAACATTTGATGAGGAATGGGTACGCCCCTCCCGGCCTCCCCCTCCCTCCTGGCCTCCTTGTTCTTCACCGTCCCCTCCTCCTACTCCTCTCGCAAAAAGTGTTTGCATATCCACACTGAGACCCGACCTGAACACCCGTCCCATATCATACCACGACACAAATACTGCTATCTTTTGTAAAACATTCGTTTTTCTAATAGAAAGAAAAGGCGATATATGCACAAAAAAAGTCAGAGGCATTTATTTGATCAGCAATGGAAACATAAATTCGAAGTCATGATCGCTGAGAATATTTTTGATCAATCAAGCTCCTCTGAATGTCTATAGGAAAAGAATTTCGCTTTTGTTTTTTACAAATCAATACCTCGACCTGTAGCTGATTCAATGATTGATGCCAGGATTTAATTGCCATTGATTAAAAAACTAACGTTGCATTATTGATTACAAGTCACAGCTGAGGTTACGTCAATACATTTCAACAATTGCTTCTTTTATATTCAAGGATGAGTCCTCCCAAACTTTCGTAGAGAAACTTTTACTTAAGAGGAGTTTATATGTTTGACTTTTCAAAGATTTATTCTCAAAAGAATCAGAAGCGAGACAACCTTCTTCTACTCTTTGTCTTTTCTATCTCCTGTTGTTGTTCTTTCCTGCTTTTGCACTTAATTTGACTAAAAACTTCAAAGCTGAAACTTCAAGTCTAGCCAGATCAGTATCACACAACTAGCCTGCACTGGGAGGGGGTAAAGGGACAATTTTCCTATCCCCAGACAAATTTCCAAGAAAAAAAAATTATTAATAAAGCTCATAACTATTGCCTGAATCAGGTGTACATTATTTGATCCATGATTAATCCCTACCTGTCAACCTGTTAGACTTCGTCTGTCGTCTCCTATCAAACTCCACTACTGCACTTCATTCTAAATTTTCTCGCTTTAATATAAATATTTGACATTGCGATATATACACTCATCGCATTTTCCCGAAAAGAAAAAATTGTTTGGAATACTATGGAAGGAAAGATTTCCCGTCAAACTCAAGATCATTAGCTGCTTTTATTCTCAGCAGATCATCTCATTTTCAGAGGTCACTGGAATTTGAAGGCTCGGCAGGTGTTCCCTGAATGATTGAGGAGAAATCGCTCGTCGTGGTTTGTTTTTCATACTTTTTGTCTGGGGCTACTGTCACACTTGGTGGCATCAAGATCAAATTTTGCCCTGATCAATAGTATACTATTTACCAAGGATATTGTGCCTTGATCTTGATACAATGTCATAATGTATCACAGCACGTCGCGCTAAGAGAATGCAAGGACAGAACCTACATATACGACTGACAAAGAAGTTACCAGCAACTTCGTGGACTGATTGAATTACATTTTCGACATTATTGATACATGAAACAGTAAAAAAAAAAAAAACGTTGCTCTCTTTCTTCCGTGCTCTCACCAATCAAGAAAATCAATCGAATGAAATGAAGAAGAAAAAGAATCATCAGAAACTCTATATATTGACAATGTGACATCAAATAATGATAATGACAACAAATCTAAATTTTACCAGGAATGGGAGAGGAAACACATTCCTCTTGAACCAACGATTATAGAATAAACTTAGAATCCTGAAAATGAAATCTCTCTTTTCCCATGTTTCACCGATTATTCTCTTTGTCCGATATAGCCACTTGAAAATGCTCAAACATGGGTGTACTGGTACTTGGCCCATGCTTAAAATCAGACAACAAGCAATGGTCATTTTGTGAGTAATAATCCAACAGAAATCTCGCGCGCTTCGGAGAAAACACTGACCCATTGTTGTTTACTTGTTGACAATAACAGGATTGACTCATCACAGGATTGCTGGTACTTTCACGTGAGTATTAAACACTCTACCAATTTGTTTAAAGTTTTAAGACTTCTTAACCTATTCATGTAGGGAGGAAGCGCAGATAGACGGACAAGGAAATGATTGTTTAGATGAAGAAGTAGCTCTTGCATATATCGTAGGAGATAAATAGGAAACGAAGTGTCAAGAACTACTGCATGGGACTTCTCATTAATGAAGAAGCAAATTATTTTGACATGTACATTTAATAACGCGCTTGCAACAACAAAAATGAACAATAATGAAATGGAGTTAGCTGATTCTCGAATCTCAACTATAAAAAGAAAGATTCTACAATGATTTAATTAATATGATGATGCTACGTTCGAAGTCAAACTACATAAATTTTACAAATAGAAATAAAAATGCCAACTATTTCGATTGATTTTTAAATAAAGGACTTCGTAATTAAGGCATTGGGTTTAGGCTGAATAGTCATCAATATTATTGATGACTATTTGTTTCCTCTCTTAACTTAATTCATCGTTAATATAAGGATATTTTACATCCGTCTCGAATGTTGACCAAGGCCAAGCGTTTCGTAATTAAATTATGACCGAAAACGTAACAATAATTTTGTTCTTATAATGGTCGTGATTGTCAGATTTGACTCAAATTTGTGCGGTGGTGTGAAGTGTATATTAACTCGATATTAATAATTCCATTTCCGTAGCAGAAAAATATCAACCCAGGGGTTTTTGCTATGTGAATATCAAATTTATATTCGGGTTGGATTGCTCTTTCCTTTCTTCAGTAAATTACAATATTAATGCCGCCGCGTGAATACTATATATTAATTAATTAATTGTGTATCACAAAACGTGCACTTCTTTTTATTTCATCGCCTGTAGGGTAAAATGAAAAGATTTCGTGAAATTAAGAGTTTTTAATTAATCAATACACCTTTCACTAATGACATTTCTATGATTTGTATTGAAAGACAAAAACCGAACGATGTCGTGAATTACATTTTACACTCCGCAACATATATTTTGTCTCTATTTTATTATTCTATGAAATTAATAAATTAAAATTCAATTGAATAGTTCAGCGCGCGAATAAGACGGATGAAGAAGGAAAAAAACAGTCATGTACAACAATCGAGATTACACTTCAAATGTGTGTTGGTCTTTGCTTACCTGGTGATCGTAGATCCTTTCTAGTCCCTTTCCACTGAGGTATGTTCCAAGGGTTCCTAAAATGGGCCATCCTTTAGGACCAGGAATATCCTTGAAGGACTTCACATCATCAAATATCGTACAATTCCTTTCTGATGGGTTAATACTAGCTGGAGCTTGGTCGAAAGTACACCCATTGGAAACGCCCAAAGACAGATTATTGTTTGACGGCAAATCACTTATTGATGATGGAGCTGAGGTAGTAGAAGTAGTACTGGTTTTAGTTGTAGATGGAGTAGAAGGAGTTGTCGTGGACGCATGAGGAGAGAGGGTTGAGGGGACGGCTGCTAGAGGACATGAGGATGCATGTGCATCATGAAACGTCTGAGGCCTCACTCCACTCGAGCGACTGGGCCTGGCCCGGGCGAGAAAACGCGACAGTCGCGTAGCCATTCCTCCAGTCGAGTCTCAACTCCCACTCTTACAATCTCTATCCCTAAATGAATCAATTTGGTATTTGGAGCAGCAGCCAGGGTAATTCCAGCGTTACTTTATAATAGCTCTTGCACGTCACTGAGTTGCCTTCATCGTTACAGATGACAGAATGCAATGGCCGGATGTTTGACGTGAGCGTTCGGTCAGATCTATTGAAAACTGAAGACTGTTAAATATTTATACGCAATGCAGCCGATGGATTGTTTCCGCTCAGTCTCGCACCGCATCGCACCGCTCATTGACGAATCAAGCTGTAAGCGCGCAGACTTCTCCTCCTCCTTCGTTCGCAGGCAATGCAACTAGAATGTTTGATCAGATGGCTGGCTTGGAGCACTTTCACCCCCGTCAAATTCCCTCCAATTTTGAGATGAAAGTTATACTCCAGGCATAATAAGCAGCGAGGGCAGAACAAAGGGCGCGAGAGGAGTAAGTATGGCCGCGGCCTCCTAACTCCCAAAGACTCTCCTCTAATTCTTGGTGAAAGAAAAATAACAATTCCTTGCACTGAAGAAAACAGAAGAGAGAAAATAGAGAGGTCGTCTAGCTCTTGAAATCTAAGAAACTTCTTCGCTGCATGGGCCCAGTTTAAGAAAAAAAGGAAAGGATTGTCACCAATTCAATCAAATGAGAACAGTTTCGACTGCCCTTTGGTCTGAAAGCATTGGTCAAAAGGAAAAAAAGTTTGCTACTCCTTTTTTCTCTCTGTTTGACTCCAAACTAAGAGTAATCCTGGCAGCTCAGCGTGAAATTGTATCTGAATATCCTTATTCAATAATCCGTTCAGCCTTTCAAGATTTCCTGTCGGTCTAGAAGGATCATCTCTTCACGACATGTAAACCTTCGATTGTTGACTGCTACGGTCCAGTGGTTCAAATTCAATGCATTAATCACCGACTTGTGACGCAATCTATACACCTTCTTCTCACCTCGTCCGTTCATTTCAATTTAAAACCCTTTCCACCCTTCTTCTTCCAATTTGGGTGTTTTGCCTATGTCGGAAAATGCTTAAAAGAAATGCAACCACGTCATCATTGCTACTTCTGAAAATCTAGCGGTTTACAATAAACGATGTGTTATCTTACGATTTCTTAATTTGCAAGTACAGCTTTCTTAAAGTGACAAAAAGAAGAAATAGAAGAAGCAAACAAATCTTTTTTGTTAGAGTTAAGGCGTAATATTTTATGATAATGAGTTCTAACTTCAATTCGATGTGGAGAACGATTTTTTTTTTCCTGGAGATATTCGTTTTACTATAATTAAATATAAAAGGCAAATTGTCAAAGGTGAACTCTTTTTGTATCTATGAATTATGCTTCATATGAAAGTACAAAATAAGGAATAATAATAATAATAATAATAATAAAGAATACTTTTGAGCGCACATATCCACTACACATGGCTGGCGTTTTCAGTGCTCAAAGGAATTTATTCCTACCGGTAAACATGTAACACCTTGATAGAGAGTGGCAATTTTTAGATTAATGACATAGAAGTTGTTTTCTTTAAGTCAAATGTTTTTCATCTTGATTGACGAATTATAAGATAATTTAAATTGTAGGATTCTACGAGAAAAAAAAAATTGGGAGTAGAGGTGACTTACATTTGTAAAAGATTTGTTTGGGATATCTTTGCAGTTTGCTGTTGTAAGTTTCATAAAATCATAGGGCCAGGGGAAGGAGCACTTTTCTACCAACCAGAGGCCTTGATTAGCAGAGTTTGGCCAACTAGGTTCAAGTTGGGCACAATATTGCACATACTGCTTCGGTCGGCAAGCACAACACAAAAGAATATACGCCATGTTGTGACCAAGTGAAACCAAATCAGCCAAACTCTTTAAATATATTACGCTGCTACCAGTTCTACCGCGCCTTTTCCAGAAGTCACTCTGTGTTTGAAACATCATGCACTCTGACACATTGCAGATATATCAACCTTTCACGATGTGCATTGCTCCGAAAGCGCACCGAGCCTTTTGATATGACATGACCGATATTCTACTTGGCATGAGATTGGCATACGTTCAACAAATCAAAAGGTAGGTAGGAAGAAAGAAAGAAATCAGACAATCGGATACAAATTTGACAACATCTCGGTTGGCCTTGAACCTGTGGTGAAAAAGACACACCACCTGCCAAGTATGTGGGTTTTAGCATCACATGCATGGGTGGATGGGTGGATATTTTGGATTACAGCTCGATCGGTGCAACAATGACTCAACGGAGATATATGCTCTTTTGTGACGTCATAATGCAAAAGTTCACATTTATGTTTCTCGCTCTGGGAGGGAAGGTGAAAGGCGAGTTTTAGAGCAATAGCGGCTAGAGGAGGCTTGATGAGACCAAGCCCCCGCCTCCTAAAAACTTTATATTTGTACATGTATATATCTATATATATATATATATATATGAGTCAAATTGCGAATAAATAAATGAAAAAATAAATAAGTAAAATAAAGTAAACTTGTAAAATCTAGATTACGTGACCAGTGGAAAATATCCAGGTACGTGCAGGGGAGGGGGAAGAGAAAAGGTGAATGATTCGTATTAGTTCTTTTACCAGTATTAAACATGTATATAAAAGATGTGAGTTGTGACTCATTTTCATGTATGTTCTTTTGTCGGTAATATAATATTCAAATTAAGTTGATGTTGAAGGCCTAATAACAAGTTTTGACACTGATAGTATGTTTTATATTCTAAGTTTAGAATAATTAATAATGAGGCTTTACTGTCCTCTTCAAATGGTGCTACACAATGCACATTAGATAGCAGTTATTTTTCGTAAGACTTTCCACTTTAAGAATAATATCTATATTTACTTATAGGTATTACCGGCTTGTTCAGGGCATTTTCATTCTTCTATACAGTAACTTTATCACTGAGATCTTGATAATACAATGCCACTGGATAATTGGCGTGAAATATTATACCTAGTGAAACAATTTAATAATTTCCGCCCCAATCGACTAATAATCCCTTTTACACATAAAATTAAAATTACTTAATTTCCACCATTTGCACTGACGACTGGTCATCAGACTTTGATGTAGTTTACACATGAAGTCAGACTCTTTTTTGTCGGTAGGCCCACAGTAACAGTTAGCATGAAGGAAGCATTCGGAGACAAACATGCAGAACAACTACATGTATACATGTGTATGTGGACCGTAGGGGGCGGTAAACTGTTGCATGCACAGACTACTGGTTCAGAGCGATTGTAAGGATATCTCTACATCATGGACCTACATGTACTACGAAATCCATGGCTACATGTAATTTGTTAAACAGGTTGTACAATACTATCGTTTAAAGAGCGTCAATACTACTGGGCCAGAACAGTGAGGTCACTGACAGATGGCTATCTCATTAACTCAGCTCTCAACTAACATAAGAAAAAGAGGAACATGGGGGATCAACAGGCATCGATTGGGGAAGTTTTCTATATAGAGGGAGCAAGTAGCTACAAGTAGGACAGTGGGGCTTTAAAATTAGACAAAGACATATGTTATCAACTGAAGAGCGACGTTTACGAACACAAAATTGACACTCCTTTAATACGACGAGATTCTTATATTTATCAATTTGATTAATATATCCATCAGTTTTTTATTCATTCATTCAAATATTTATTCATGCATGCACTTATTTATAAATGTATTCATTTATTTATTAAATTGTTTATTTGTTATTTATATTTTCATTTATTTTGTATTCCTTTTTTTTTTAGATTTATTGATTTTCATTGATGATTACGTATAATTATCTTACTCTTCGAATTGATACTACAATGTTTTGTTATATCCCATGAAGACAAAAACGCAGATTTGACCTCAATAATTCAAATTTTCCCCCTCCCCCCCCCCCCCCCTTTCCCCTTTATCCAAGTCTTCCTCTGTCTCCTCTCCCGGATATTTGATGATTTTATATTTTACGAGAGAATATTACAACAAAATACAGTATAATATTTCCCTAGCACGCTGCTGTGCATACCCAGCAGGGGTTCTTCTATTTCTGCATACTCACGCGTGTCTAGATGATCGTAAAACAGTAGGAGAGTCTCAGCTGCAATAATACTTCCCCAAAATTGAAAAATTTGGTGTGTGTTTTTAAGCTAACATCATGACTAATAATATTACTATAACACAAATGGGACGCAATGTTGTTTGTATTCGATAGAGCACATTTTGTTTCGCCTTTGTTGTATAATATGCTTCATTATACCGATCATTGTATTTGATAACGCGTTTCATTTCTACAGGTTCATGTACTTTTAGAGTTTTTTTTTACTTTCGAGACTATACGGCGCAATAATATTTCCTCTTTTTTGTGCTGGGTGCGCAAGACGCTTCGATTCTTCGAGGGGCGTTGTTAGAAAAAATCAAACCCTGAATGAGGTTTTTTTTCTCGGCGTGATGTTTCTGGGGAGTTTGGGAGGGGGGTCGCTTATTATTATTATTATTATTATTATTTTATTTGGCAAATCAAGTCACATAATACAACAATATAACAAACATGAATTGAGATTAAAAAAATCAATAGAAAGCATATATAAATATTGCAATAGCAGGTGCATCCGGTCGAGCTGCCCGGGTATGGAAAAAGTTAACCAAATAACTGTGATCCGCAGACCTTCCTCCCCACACCCGACTAGATGCACCTGATATTGGTTAAAATAAAGCTTTAAAAAGAAAAGATAGATGAGAAGAAAATGGAGGAAAGAGGGAGAAAAAGAAAGGAAAAAAAACATTGCATGACAATTTTTTTAAAAGTTGTGATTTCATGACAGGTATGGTAACATATTATTACTGTTAATCATTAACACCATCATCACGTTGTAAAACATAAATATAATATCATTATCATTATCGTTATTAACATTATTACTACTACCGTTACTATCGTTTTTTAAAAAGTTGTGATTTCATGAAAGGTATAGTAACATATTATTACTGTTAATCATCAACACCATCATCACGTTGTAAAAAATAAATATAGTATCATTATCATTATCGTTATTAACATTATTACTACTACCGTTACTATCATGATTATTATGATTATTATAATTTGTATCATTGACATCAATATTTATATTAAAACATCAACAACAAAATTAATTTTCATTGAGAATACAATTTCAACAACAACCAGTCTCGAAGCTATTGCACGATCATAATATGTACAGATAAAGGTAAGCCCTATATCATGTTTATGAAAATATTAAGATTCAGTAATACAATTTTGGAATGGTTTGGAATGGTTAAAATGGACTGTGTATTGTATCAAATAAATATCATTATTGTTTCATATTATATAATGAAAAATGAAACACAAATTATACGGTATACATCACAGGTGGTTATTATGTGAATCATTCATAGAATTGAAGGATTATTTATATTCTATAAATGACTTTAAACAGCAGCAATTAAACAACTAGCAATAAGAAAGCATAAACAGCATTAAAAGATCACACTGTTACAAATATGTATAAGCATATTCGTCATTATTATTAACATCATTTATATTATTGTTATTGCAATCATTATTATTGCTACGATTATATCATATAACTTTTACAATCATTATTAATATTATTAAGGAATATAATGTATAATACAACATGAATAAATATGGAATCATATATACACTGTTGCTCATAACGGTGGAATATTTTTTTTTATCCCAATTTATGGAATTATTTTAAAAATAATTTAAAAATACTAGATCTAGATAATAGTATACAGTCTCAGATTTTATTGAATAATAATTTGCCAATA